AAGGAAGGGGATGGTTCCTCTGCAAGGAGGAGCCTCTCTCTGCAAGTGCTTCCCAAGCCCAGCCCTCTTCCAGCCTCAACAGCCAAATCCTTCATGGGAATACTGAAATAAGAAAGCTGCCTTCTGTGCCAGGCTTCTTTTAAACCTTGCAATGACATGAGAAATACCACGTTTAGTATCTTGTATGCTATAATTGATATTTTAAGTACTGCTCAGAGCAAGAACAGGAGAATTTTCAATAGATGTCATAATGGAAATCCTTAAATCTCAGTTGATAGCAGCAAACAGATGCACTGCTGCTAAATTAGAGTTAACTGACTTGGATGTTCACAGGACAGATTGCTTTCAATGAGCTGGTATTAAATGAACTTAATCACTTGTATCAGGGAATCCATTATTTGGAGGAGAGGGTAAATATTAAGAGTTTCTCATCAAAACCACTGTCCATACATATGTACAACACCAAACTCTTCTTTACCCCTTTTCAACCTCTGTTTCGCTTGTTTTTGGAAGCCAAATTAATTCCTTTTCTAAAATATTTTATCAATGCAGGTAATAAGATTGATTTAGCTGATAAGAGGGAAGTCTCCCAGCAAAGAGCTGCCGAGTTTTCCGAAGCACAGGATATGTACTACCTGGAAACCTCAGCAAAAGAATCGGATAATGTGGAAAAACTCTTCCTGGACTTGGCCTGCCGGTTGATCAGTGAGGCACGACAGAACACCCTTGAGAACAATGTCTCATCCCCCTTACCAGGGGAGGGGAAAAGTATCAGCTACTTGACTTGCTGTAATTTTAATTAAGGAGCTGGCATGTGGTTTCCTGTTCTGCCATGGGCCAAGAGGATTTGTTAGTTTCTTTTTTTTCTGGGATTTATCTACTCGAAGGGAATTCCTGCCACTTCCCGAGTCAGGATGCAGACCTGGAAGCATGGTAGGCTGGCGGCCTCAGCTGGATGGCAACATAGCAGAATATAACATGGTTTAAGTTCCATCTTTCTTGCAGTCTCTGGAGCAGGTTAGGAACAGAAGAGTTGCACAAGTGCTTCATGTGATGCAGAACACGAGCTGTTGCATTTCCTTCTATGGGAGACTAGAGCAGCCTCTCCTGAAGAAGACACTGAAGAGTTCAATCTCTCTCTTACAGAACAATGTGTTTATTCCTTTTTGAAATGAAATAAACCAACAATGACCACTGACCCTGGAACAATGGCAATGTTTGGGGCTGCCAGCAAGTAAGCTCTTAGGACATGTACATAGCGTCTGCCTGGGTGCCTCCATGGAGGGCTCCAGTGTTTGAAACAGTGTTATGTCTCTCATCTACAGGCACTTTCATGAACATGGAATTAAAAAAGAAGTTACATATATCAACGTTTTCTAGATGTAAGAAGACATGGATACAGCTCAGTTGCTCCCTTTGGTGCTAGCAGTTCAGCAAATATTCCATAGACCAAACATAGTCTTACTACATTGCTGTCCTCTGAATGTGTAACTTAGATTGGTTAGGAGAAAAAAAACCACACTAATAAGCACTGTTCATAAAAATAAACAAATCTTGTTACCTCTTTTTCTAGGCCTGAACGTAGTGGGAAAGGACTGTGCTGCTTTGATGGCCAATGCAGGATGAAAAGACTTTTCCAGAAATAAAAATAAACCAGAAAATTAACCATTCCTCCTCTAATTAATAACATCCTGATGTGGAAAATTACCTTCGGGAAAGATTATTGGTAGAGTTGGGAAAAAGTGCACCAGATGTGACCAAAATCTTGTGCGTGCACAGATTGTGCATAAGGGTTCAAAGAGAGCACAGTTCGAAGTGGCCGCCTGCCATATGTCCAGCTTAAACATAAAGCTTGTAGATGCAGTTCTTGTTGAAAGGCAAGTGTACAAAGTAGAGGGGGGTTTTATGCTAAGTGGGTTGCAAGTGGTATCATTCTGTGTCTGACCCATGCAACGCTCACCTTGTGGAACTGCTCTCCAAGATGCTCTTGAAGGTATCTTCTTGGCGTCTGGTCCCTCTGCTAGAGTATCTTTCAGGTTCAGGGCTGTAGAGTCATTGATGCTTTGTACTCTTCGTCTCAGACTCCAGTATGTGTATCACTGTTTAGGCAATTTCTTCCTGCAGACCCCCTGAAGTGGAAGCACTCTGGAGTTTGTGGTGTGATTCCATCTCTAGTGCCGTACACAAACAATTCATTGCAAATTTACGTGTTGACATCGAAGTGAAATTGGAAGGTAGCGAAATGTGCCCGTGCAAAATGATATTTAGAAGTTTGAGTTCAGCTCAGCTAATCTGCATAAAGCTCCCCTGGCAACTACATGGCTGTGATTTGCTGTAATTTAGAGTTAATCAATTTAATATTAATTTGGCTTGTACTGAAGATTAGAACAGAGCTTTTGTATTGACATAAAAAGCTGCCAGTAAGTACTTCTTTAAAAGAATAACAATTAAAGGCATTTAAAAATGCGTTTTCACATTTCCCTGGGAAGACTTTTGGTCTGTATCATGTTGTGCCTTTGATCTGTAATAGGGAGCTGGGTCTGTGTCAGAGAGAGGGGATCGGTGTGTGTCATATGGTCATTTCTCATCTTTTCTTGCTATTTTTTAGGTCACTTTCTTTTATGATTAGTGGTAAAAAGGAAGATGTAGAAGTTGTGGTACAAAACCTGTTTGTCATTTAGGTAACACTTAGCAAAGAGCTTTCGTGTGAGATGCTGGGGGACATGTCATCAGCTATGCCAGCCCATTCTTTTTCAGTCTCTGCTCATGGTGTAATCCAGAGGATTTAGAAATGTGGGGGAGTTGGTGGCTTTTGCTGTGCTGGACCATGTGCTACAACCTGTGCTGAAGAGCAGTGTCTGTCTTGAGCATTCCTTAACCTGCCAAGCACAGCTTCATTTGAGTTTGTGAAGCCTTGGAGACAGTGATTCTGCCCAGGTGGTAGGTAGTTGTTCAGAGCAAGGCTCGAGGTGTTAGGTGTAAGGTAACACTCAATTTAGAAATCGGTACTATGCATATTTAATTTCTAAAGCTCTTGCTCTCTAGTTGCTGGACTTGTCGGCACATAATTACATCAAATAGGACAGGGCTGCTTGAGTTGATCAAGGAGGAAGGGCACTGCCCACTAAAACACCTATAGGTTCCTCAGCTTGATTTCCAAAAGCATCAAAGTTGGGCAGATACTTTACATTCCTGC